AAAAAAAAAAAAAAGAATGAGGAGAAATTAATCATCAGGGAGAAGAAAAATAACCCACAATGATATACTACCACACACCCATCAGACTGGCAAGATTAAAGTGTCTGACAGTACTAAGTACTGGTGAAGACATGGAGCAAAGGGAACTGTCATTCAGTGCTGGTGTGAGAGCACATTATGAATAGTACAGCCACTTTAGAAAAATAGTTTGGCAATGTAGTGGGTAGAAAAATGTCACCCAAAAGATGTCCAGACTTAATCCCTGGAACCTGTGCATGTAACCTTATATGGCAAAAAGGACTTTGCAGATGTGATTACAGTAAGGATCTTGCGATGAGGAGATTATCCCGCATAATTTGGGTGGGCCCTAAATGCAATCACTTGTATCCCTCCAAGAAGCAGGAAGACGAAGATTGGACACAGAGAGAAGAAGGCAATGTGACCACAGAGACAGAGAATGGAGTGATGCTGCCACAAGCCAAGGGATGCTGACAGCCACCAGAAGCTGGAAGAGACAAGGAATGGATTCTTCCCTAGAGCCTCCGAAGAGAATGCAACCCTGCTGACACCTTGATTTTGGCCCAGTGAAACTGATTTTAGATTTATGGCCCCCAGAACTGTGAGAGGATACATTTCTGTTGTGTTAAGCCACCACATTTGTGCTAATTTGCTATAGCAGTTGTAGGAAACAATATCAACAGTATCCACCAAACCTGAGCATACTCATACCCATGTCCAGCACTTCTAGGTATATCCCTATAGAAATAGAAGCATTTGTTCACTAAAAACCACGCACAAAAATGTCCATAGCAGCATTATTCATAACAGCCCCAAACTGGAAACAACCCCAATGCCCATCAACAGCTCAATGCATTAACGAATTGTGGTATATTTATACAATGGAATACCCTGCAATACAGCAATAAAAATAGTCCTCTACAAAAACAACAATGACAAAAAACAAGTCATCTACAGATACGCAGAACACGGAAGAGTCTCACAAACACAACGTTGAGCAAAAGAAACCAGACACAACAAAACATATTGTATGATTCTGTCTATGTTAAATTCAAGAAGAGACAAAATTAACTGTTAGATATCATTGAGTGACGAAAAGCTAGAAAGTTAAAGCAAGGAATTAATTACTGTGAAAGTCAGGACAGTGTTTCCAGCTAGGGTAGGAGGGGAGCTCTGATCAGGAAGGAGGCCATAGCAGAAAGGTGGGCGGGGGGCTCCTGGTAGTATATTTCTTGGCATGGATGACACTGGTGTTTTACAGTAATATTAATAACTGTACGTTTACGTCTTGTGCACTTTTCCGAATATTTCACAACTAATATGTATCTTGGTGTTGGTGGTAATTTTTGACAGAATCAACAGGGAGCTTCCCAATCCTTGACACCTTCCTGTGTCCCTCCTCCCAGTGTCCTCTGGCCTCCTCCAGCCTCTGCCGCTCGCTCAGCCATGGCTCTGACCACTCTGGGTTGTGAGCCACTGTGTCCCAGTCTGGTTCCCCCACCAGAGCGGGAGCTCTCCAGAGCCAGCACCCAGGCTGGAGTCCTCTCGGGCGCCTAGGGCTCAGGGCCTGGCACACAGGAGGCCTCGTGGGACATGTGCTGCCAGGCCCAAGGCACCCCGGGCCTGCGTCGTATTACCACTTTATGTTGTAACTGTCGGCGTCATGTCCGTCTCCCAGCCAGTTCCACTTACCTTTGCCTCTGTCCATCTGTCCCTCTACGTCCCGTTGAGGAACGCGCCAAGGCATTTGCAAGGGCTGTTTTCTCTGCCTAGAACGCTCTCTGTCATTCTGTTGAACTCCTACTCGTCCTTCAAGGGCCGGCCCCAGATAGATTCCTCTCCTCTGTGGAACCACGGCCCTCCTTCCTCTGAGCTCCCGCAGGCCCCCGTTTCCCGCGGCCGCAGCCTGTCCACGCCCTGCCCCACAGAATTCTGTTTCTTGCTTTCAGAAGCTCTTTCATTTCCCTGAGTTGTCCTCATGGCCTGGGTCTGACCCACTTCTGGGCCTCGAGGGTCTGTTCTTCACGGCCGGCGAGCGCTCTGACAGGCTCAGGCAAGCTCCGCAGCGGCGCATGCGCTCAGGGAGGCTCTGAAGGCGCGAGACATTGCCTCGGGGTTCCCGCCACTTTGGCGGCGCCACTACGCCTGCGCAGCCTCGAGGTCAGGCTTCCTTACTTCCAGCAGGCACGTGCCAGCGAAAGAGGCGGGTCCCGGACTGAAAAGAGTGGGGCAGGGACTGGGGCCTGGGACGTGTCCAGCCAGGGGGCGGGGCCCGTCACTCAAAAGAGGCAGGAGACAATCGTCAGGGCTTGAGAGGCGGGTCCTGGGATTTAGCCCCGTAGTTGGGAGTCCAGCAGACGCTAAGGTAAGCAGCAGTTCCCACCCCCAAGCACGGGTAGCCTCAAATAGAGAAGAGCTTCAAATCTTAGGAGGTCATGAAAAGAAAGCCTCTCTCAGGCCAAGGAGAGCCCTCCAGCTCCAGGGAACGGTCCAATCAAGGGAGTAGAATCCCCACCTCACTCCCCCACCTACCTGCCATCACTAGGGTAGAAACAGTCTCCATCTCACTGCTTCTCTATGCCTTGGGCAAATCACTTCCCCTGAGCCCATTTTCTATAAAATGGGGATAAAATCCCACACAGGATGGCTGAGCAGTAAACAGATCTCAAATAAGTGCCCGGCAGAACTTAGCTCCCTGCCAGAGGGTAAAGGCAGAATCTGGGATCACACAGCAGATGGATGGCTGGACCAAGCCTTCGCTCCTGGACTGGACTCACCTCCTAGACTTGACACTCCATCCCTGTACATCAGCACAGGCCAAGGGTCCAGGTTCCAAGGTGTGGGCAGGTATACCCCTCCCCACAGGAAAGGCTGGCCCTTGGGAATCCCTGCCCACCCTACCCCTAACTCCCCAGCCCAGGTTCCCTTCCCTCTCAGGAAAAGAAAATCCTGGGTATTGCATAAGAAACTTGAGCCCTTACACCAGGGGTGGGGGAAGGGCAGGAGGCCACAACCTTAGCTGCAGTCACAGAACAGCAGGAAGAAGTATATTTGAGAGAAGGTGAATGCCCAGGTGTGAGAGCTAGGGAGCCACAGGGAGAGGAATTCCAGGCAGAGAACCCCTGGCTGCCTATCCTTCCAATTTCCAAACCTTGGGGCTCCATCAGCCTTGGGGGTAGCCACTGAACTAGTTAAAAATCCTGGAACCACCCTCCACCCCAGACATACAGGAGCAAAGCATGTGAACAGAGTTGGAAGAATTTATAACTCCAAGGTAGTACTGTACTTCCTACTTTGACAGATGAGGAAACTTAGGCCCAGAGAATAGGACAAGCATGTGGTAGCGGATGGCAGATATCTAGTATCCTGCCCGCCCTCCAGCCCCTAACACTGGGCCAGGAACACTCCTTCTGGCACATCAAGAATCCAAAGCCAGGTGTCATAGCACGAGTCTACAGTCCCAGCTACTTGGGAGGCTCTTATCAAGGCGGGAGGACCACATGAACCCAGAAGTTCGAGGCCAGCCTGGACGACACAGCAAGACTCCACCTCTAAAAAAAAAAATTAAAAAAACAAAGAGTCCTAGAAAGCCTGATGCCCACCTATGCCCCTTCCAGGGCAGTTTTATTGGTGCCATTTGAGAAAGGTCTTTCCCATCAGCCCCCAAGCCTTTGCCTTCCCTTTCCAAGAAGGCAGCTGTTTCCTGGTCCTGGCCCCATGGGCAACAGTAGGCCTTGGTCTGATGCCACAACATCCATGTGTGAGGGTTTGAGTGCAAGTCTGTATCTAGCTCTGGGAAGCAGAGGGAAGGTGAAGAGAGTTGGGTTTGTGTGTGGAAGGTGGGCAGAGCCCCGCCTAGAGATGTGTGGGCAAGGTGAGCAGGCCCCATGAGCACCCTAGCTCCAGTGCCCACTGGTGTGGCTGAAGTCCAGGTTGGGGGTGGTCAAATCAGAGATCCTGAGAGAGAGGCCCTTAGGCCAAAGAAGTGTGTGGAACAGGGCAGGGGCCGTGGGAAGATTTCAGGGGGGGGCAGTGTGTATGAGTGTGTGTGCACGCATGCACGTGCAGACAGCCCAAGGTCACAGACACGATGTGCAGGGGGCCGTTGGTGAGTGTGTGGCTATGCCTCCCTCCCTTCGGGGATACAGGAGCTCCTGGCTGCCAGAGGCTGAGGGAACACACGGGGGTGGGGGGAGTTTGGGAAGGAAACTCAGCTGGAAGTGGTTTAGGCCTCAGAGCCCACATCCTGTGCAAGGGGGCTGTCAAGGGGCATGCCATCCTGGTCCTGTACAGTCCTCAGAGCTCCTGAAGTGACAGTCCTCTAGGGGCAGAGATGGTTGTCCTCCGGGGGTGAAGGTGACCGGAGACTCGGAGGTGGGGTCAGTCCTGCCAGATCCGGGATCAGGAGGCCTCCGTCAGGCGCCGCCCCCCCTCCTCCTCCATCAGCAACAGGCGGCGCCGGCCAGCCTCATAGTCGGCCTCGTCCACGCTGACCAGCAGGCGGACAGCCTCCCGGCCCACAGCCTCACGCAGGGCCTCAGTCAGGAACACGCCCCGTAGGGCCTGCAGCAGGGCACCACTCAGGTAGTCGCCCCAGAAGGCGTCCAGATAGGAGAGCTCTGAGAACTTGATGTCGCACACCACGGAGCCCAGGTCCCTTGAGCGCAGCACTGCAGTGGCCTGCCCAAACACGTCCAGCTGCCGCGCCAGCGCCTGGGGCCGCCGGGATGCCACCCCCTGCTCCAAGGCTGGCCCGTGCTCACAGTACTCTGCTCGAACCCGGAGCCGGATGTCTGCAGGGAGTAGGGGGGAAAGGAGAAACTGGTCAGGGAGGGGCTGACACAGAACACCACCCTTCCTCCCTCCAGCCTCCTCAGGCAGGCTCCTCCCTCTGCCCCCTTCCGGAAGCCACGCCCAAGCTCAGCGACACCCTGACAGCCTCTACAGCTCTTGTGGTCTGGGCTCGGTTACCTCTCTGACCTCTGACCTCGCATCCTCCTCGCTGCTCCCGCAACCACCAGGCGGCTCCACCTTGGCCCTGCCTCTCCCCCAGCCTGGGTGCTCTTTCCCCAGATCTCCACAGGTCCTGCTCCCTCACTTCCTGCGGGTCCTTGCTCAAACTCCACCTTACCAAGGAAGCCCACCCCCGGCCAACCTATTTACAATGGCACCCACCCACCCGCCACCCCTCCCACGGCATGCCCGGGTCCCCACACGCTCGCTGTTTTTGCCCAAGGCACTTAGCACCTTCTGACCTGCTCTATGGGTTACTATCCTGTTACCATCTGCCTCCCCACTAATGGGAGCTCCCTGAAGGAAGGGATTTTTGTCCATTTTGTTCACTTGTAGAACTGTGGCACACAGTAGGTGCTCAATATGTATTTGTGAAAGAACCAGTGCATGAACCAATGAACTGGCCTTTAAGTAACCAGCCACACCCGCCCCCCCAATGAGATTCACATGGGGACAACCACATCCCCGTTCTTCCCAAGCAGGCACCAGGGAGGCACAGGGGCCTGACCAGGCCCAGTAAACTCCAGGCTGGACCTGTGCTGGCTCTGCTGGGAGTCAAGCGTTCTCTCTCCACGGAGGCTGCTACGATGGTAGGCTGTGAGCCCAGAGCTGCTGGGGGCCGCCGTGCTGCCCAGAGAGAAGAGGAGGAAGCCTACACAGGGCCAATGACTGAAAAGGATTCCTCAGTTCATCATGTGAGCCCAGGATCACGCCTTGTCAGGATTTCCGGCTGCAATCAATTCCCGTTTTTGCTTAAGCCAGTTTGAGTTGGGTTTCTGTCACTTACAACTCTACCCAAATCTGCCCAAATGAGGTGGTAGCTCTGCACAGGGGACAGGACACAGCACTTCTGAGGCTATCCCTGCAAACGTGAACTCAGGCATATCACCTCTACTCTGGGATTTCTGAATTCCAATCCATGAAATGGGGCCAGTACCACTCTCCACATACCCAACAAAGCCATCCTGAGGATCGGCTAGAAGCTGGAAATATAAGCAGGCGACAGCTGCAGAGTGCTGACTCTCTGCCAGGCACTACTCCAGTGCTTGAATCATATGAACTCATTTAATCCACAAACAACCCTGTGAAGCAGGCCCTATTATCACTCCCAATTTACAGGTAAGGAAATGGAGGCCAAGAGAAATGAAGTGACTTGCCCAAGTCACAACGCCAGGCAGTGGCTGTGCCTGACAGAGGTCAATTAACCCCGCATGCCCCAGACAGCAGGCTTCTGATTCCAACCCAGAAACCTTCAGGCACTCGCTGTGTGACCTGGGACAAGTCCCCACCTCTCTGAGCACAGATTCCTGCTTAAACCAGGGAACGATCCCTGCCATAAAGAGTAATAAAGAGAGCACAATGGAAAGGAACAGGCTAGCACTGCGCACGGTGCCCAGTGGGTGCTCCCAGAATGGCAGCTGCCAACCACTCTGATGTAACAAATGCTCGACCCTTGGGGATTCAGCACAATCAGCCAGCCCTGTGTGGCAGGGACCACCTTCAGCCCATTTCACAGATGGGGACACCAAGGCTCTGGGATGGGAAGTCTCATGTGGGCTCCCTTCACCTTTCACAGACCATGTCAGCCAGCCACAAAGCGGAAAGCAGAAGGCAGGTCCCCCAGATGACTTCTCACCCCACCCACTTCCTCCTCCCACCCCAAACCCTTCCTCTTTCCGGCTCTTGGGGAACCCCATCCTCTCCACTCAAGGCCCAGGGACGCCTGCCCAGCCTCAGCCCCCGGGCCCTCCCACAGCATTCAGGCCCAGCTCCCTCCATCCTGAGGATCAGATAAGCCCTCTGGGCCCACATCCTTGACTCCTGTTCCCTCGGTCTGGCCATGCCCTTGATCAACATGGGAGGAGCAGCACCTGTCCAAGGCCACACAGGGCTGGTCAGTGGGAGAGCCTGGTGGCAGAGTCCCACAGACCTTGAGGTGAGTCCCAGTTCTGCCACTCTCTAGCTTTGGGGCCTTGAGCACGTGACCTCACCTCTCTGAGCCTCAGTTTCCTCATCTGAAAAACAGACAAACAAAAGGTCCCTGTTGCACGATGGAGTCATGAGGATTAAATAAGGCAACTCGTAAAATGCTTGACTCAGGGCCTACAACACAGAAGGCACCCAGAAACAGGAACTGTGATTTCGACACCCACCTCTCTACCCCAACGCCTCCTACCCAGGCCTTCATCTCTCTCGAGTGCGTCCCTGAGCCAACCTCCTCTTTCATCAGCTCCTCCAATACCCTTCTCTCCAGTCACAATAAAGTGCTCCCAACACAAGCCTTATTCACTCACAAAATGACCTGTCCACCTCCTCCATCCAGAACATCCCCAAGGCTCAGCACCCAGAACCCCACATCCTCTCCCAGCTCACCCTTCTCTTCAGCATGGATTGGTACTGGACCTGTGGCATAAATTACCTGTCTATTCACCCAGAGCCCTCATCACATCGGGGGTGGACAGGGCCAGGGCAGACTCAAATGTGTCCCTGCTCAATCTCTCATTCAACAGATATTCAATGAGTGCCAGGCATGCTAGGGTGACACGAGGGCCCTTGTGTGGGACAGGGAGACACGTAACCCATAGTTAGGGAGCATTCCCTGCATTCCAGGCCCTACTCAAGGGCCTTCCTACCTTCCTATCAGCCCACCTAATCCTCAGAGCACTTTCGTTACCCCCGTTTACAGGTGAGGAAATCCTTCACCAGACCAGAGTCCAACCTCTGATCCAGAAAACAAAATCTGAGTACACACAGGGAGAGGACAGGGAGGCTCCACCAGGCAGAGGAGAAGACGGGCACTCTCTGAGCTTCTGCTCCATCCCCACCCTGAAGCATATGCTTCATCTCTCACTGAAATAACGACAGGTGACACTTACACAGTATTCACTATGGGCTGACACCGTACTACATACTTCACATCTGTTGGCTTTTTTTTTCCTTTTTTTAAGAGATGGAGTCTCATTCTATCCCCCAGGCTGGAGTGCAGTGGTGTCATCACAGCTCACTGCAGCTCCAAACTCCTGGGCTCAAGTGATCCCCCTGCCTGAGCCTCCCGCATAGCTGGGACTACAAGTTCATGCCACTCTGCCCGACTCTGTTGACCCTTCTGATCATCCCCACAACCTTATAAGATGATGCTGTTATTTCCCTTTCTGCAGATGGGGAAACTGAGGCACAGAAGTTGAGTCATCTGCTTAAGACCACAAAGGCAGGAACTGGCAGAGCTGGAATTCTATCTGCGGCGCCTGCCTCCAGAGCCCAAGCTCTGAACCACCCCTATCCTGTCTGCTGCCTCTCATACAACCATACACATGAATATGTAATTAAAAGACATCCTGAAGGCCAGGAAGGAAAATTACATGGGGCATGTTATAAATTAGATTGAAAGAATCAGAGAGGACCTCTCTAGGAAATGACATTTGAAGTGCAATGTGGAGGACAAGTAGGTTTAGACAGTGAAACAGGAGAGAAGGGAAGAATAGCACTTCCAGAAGAGACAAAAGCATTCATGAAAGTCCAGAGAAAAAATGAACTTGGGGCCAGACATGGTGGCTCACACCTGTAATCCTAGTACTTTGGAATGCAGAGGTGGGAGAACTGCGTGAGGACAGGAGTTCAAGACCAGCCTCAGCAAGAGAAAGACCCTATCTCTACAAAAAAATAGAAAAATTAGCTGGGTGTGGTGACACATGCCTGTAGTCCCAGCTGCTCAGGAGGCTGAGGCAGGAGGATCGCTTGAGCCTAGGAGTTCAAGGCTACAGTGAGCTAAAATAATGCCACTCTAGTTCGGGCAATAGAGCAAGACTCTGTTTCCAAAAAAAAGAACTTGGGACATTCCCAGGCTGATGGGCTAGGGTGTGTGGCCAGAACATGGCAGCCAAGCCAGGAACTGTGGTCTCACTCAGCAGCAGAGCCCCATGGTTCTGGGGCCTCAGGAGGCAACCACACCTCTCTGCACCTCAGTGACCTCCTTTCAAAACAAGGCTCCCCTGGACCTGCTCGTGTGGGGCTACTGGAGATTACGTGGCTGAATGCAAGGAAGGAGCAGTGGCCAGTGCCTGGCATGTAGGAGGACAGGCGCTCCCAACTCAGAGGCAACTCCAGCTGCTCTGTGAAAGTGGCAGGTTGGCAGGAATGGGGCCAGAGTAGCAGACAGGGAAGGGCCACAGGTGGCTGTCTAGAATGGGAGCAGCAGGCATGGAAGGAAGTGGATGGACTGGTCCAGGTGTGCCAGTGAGGGATGAGGCAGGAGGAGCACCCAGCACCCATGTGCTCTGGCTGGGGACTGGCTGAATTGCTTCTACTTTGACAGCTGTGGGGAAATGTTCCCTGTCAAGGGGTTGGGGGCAAGGTGTGACTTCCTAGAGAAGAGAGCTGCTCCTGCTCCCTCCACTCAGGTGGGCCCTAGCACCCACCCTCTTGTCCCTCACAACCTGTCAGTCTCTCTTCTGGGGCAGAGGGGACACAGAGGGAAGTGGGAGGGACGTCCCAATTTTGAGGGAGCAGGTCCCGGGGCTGGATGACCTGTCTTGGGTGCCAGACCCTGTGCTGGGTGTGTCTGGGAGCTCAGAGATGAACCTTGCTCAGGTCTTCGAGAGTTCCTAGCTGGATGGGCTGGGGACAAGGCAGACCTGTGTTCCCACAGCGCTGGTGGGGAGTTTCCAGCCCTGGTGCAGAGAGGCGGCCAACAGGCTTCAACGGAAAGGCTCCATCCCACTGCCACACCAGACCAGCACCATCCTCCTCTGGACAACAATGGGACCCTCCGAAGCATCCGCCTCCATGTTTGCCCCATTTGTCTCTTCCCCATAACGAAGCCAGGGTCATCATGTCACATGTAAAGTTCTTCAACTCCTACTGAACTGATGAATTGAGGCAACGAGAAGCTGTCTCTAACTCCAAAGAAAGACAGGCAGCCACTGCCTGCTTCCTGATGGAAGAGCATAGTACCCCGTCAGAAGTGAGCTTGGGAAAAAACAAAACATCAAACCAGAATCTGATTTTTGAGAAATACAGATGACAGGAGAATACATTAAGTCAACTCTAATGCAGGATGCAATCGGCAAAATCCAGTCTTTGGGAAATGCTATGGGACAACTGCTTTCAACGGGTACAATTTAAGGGGGAGGGGGCAGATGGTGGGGAATCCTAAAGATGAGAGGAGACTCAAGGGAACCAATATTTATGAGACAATCAGAAATGTGAACACCGACTAAATATTTGATAGTAACAAGTTATTAATTTTTTGATGTAACATCTTAAAGAATTTTTATCTCTTAGAGATACACAGTGGAACATCTACAGATGAAACTGGAATTGACTCCAAAATAACATGGCTGATGAGATGAGCTCAGCCATGAGCTGACAACGACTAAAGCTTGGTGATGGGGATCCGAGGGCTCATTATGCATAACATGGTGGGGAGCAAAGCTGATCCTGTCATTCAAATCCTCCAACTATTAATACTTGCCATAATTTTTAAAAATGCAAAGCCCAGGCCATGGCTCACCAGGCTCTCTCCTGCCCCACCTCCTAGCCCATCATGCCTCCTTTCCAGCCTCGCCAGCTTCCTGCCTGCCCCTTAAGCACCACTGGCACGCTCCCATTTGGGACTTTGCTTCTCCAGTCCCCTCCATCTGGAACACCCTTCCCCTGACATCTGAAATCTCTGTCTCTTGGTTTTCTCCTCCCGCCAGAACACAAGCTCAGTGAGGGCAAGGCCTCCCATCGCTGCTGTGCCTAGCATGTAGTAAGCGCTCTACAATACATATGGGTCGGGCGCGGTGGCTCACGCCTGTAATCCTAGCTCTCTGGGAGGCCAAGGCGGGCGGATTGTCTGAGCTCAGGAGTTAGAAACCACCCTGAGCAAGAGCGACACCCCGTCTCTACTAAAATTAGAAAGAAATTAATTGGACAACTTAAAATATATAGAAAAAATTAGCCGGGCATGGTGGTGCATGCCTGTAGTCCCAGCTATTCGGGAGGCAGAGGCAGGAGGATCGCTTGAGCCCAGGAGTTTGAGGTTGCTGTGAGCTAGGATGACACCATGGCACTCCAGCCCGGGCAACACAGTGAGACTCTTGTCTCAAAAAATAAATAAATAAAAAAATATTCCATATGGAATAAACAAATGAACAGCTCTGCCCCTGCCACTCAGACCAGTGACTTCCTTTCTGCCAGCCTGCTTCCTTCTCTGCACAATGGGGGAAGTCACCCCTACCTCAATGGCTGTCTTGAGAATTCAAGATCAAGCGAGCGACATGCCCAGCACTCACTCACCCTGAGAGGAACACGGAAACTCAGATATCCTGTGTCCAAGTCCACCATCCCCAAGTTCCCCTCCTCACACCTTCAGTCCCTTGAGAGCTTAATCTAGTTCTATCCCTTACTGGAGGGCAAGTGACTGGGGGGGGCCAAACCCTCCAGGTGTCACAGGCAAGAAGTAAGAATGGCAGGCCTCTTCTACAACCAGTCAGGAGGGCCTCCTTCCACGTCCGGCATTCGCCCTCGCTAAAGTAGGCTATTCCATTTCTCAGAAGGGAAAACAGGGGCCCAGATGGGGAGAGCCTCGCTCCAGCCCCACCCTGCCTGGTGAGTCAGCAGTCAGACCTGCTTACTCCCACCAAGCCCCGGCCACACCCTGGGTAACAACCTCCTGGCCTCAGGGAAAAGACCTGAAGCTTCCCTTAGCCTGCTCCTGTCCTCCCTGAGGCAGTGACTCCCCCACCTGCCCAGCCAGCCTGGTGGCTCTGACTGGAGGGATGGCAGCCACCCTGCCCCTCAAGCCGGGAGCTGTCTGAGCACCTAGGGCTGGCTCTATTCCTTAGTCTCCTGACCTCCAACTTCCACATCAGCCTCCTCCCTGGAATCCTTCCTCCTTGTACACCCGCTGCTCCCTGTGCTCCCCTGAGGTCCCCCAAAGCTCCCTCCTCCCATCCCACCATGTGGTCTCAGCCCCTCCGCAGAGGTGCTTCCCCAGATTCCACAGAGCCCACAGCTCTCTCTGCCCCCTCCCTGGCTTTGTGTTTCTTTAGAGCACTCGCTAGCTGATGTCACATGATATACTGGCTTATTTGTGAGTTATCTGTCTTGCCCACTATAAAATAAATTCCCTGAGGCCAGGGATTTTCTTCACCTGGTCAAATTCTGTGTCCTCAATGCCTACAACAGTGCCTGGCACAGAGGTGATAATAAAAACTAGGGAAAGGAATTAACAAATGAATCCTTCCATGGCACCCTCCTGCCCCCAGAATAAAGTCCAAACCTTCAGGACCCCCATCTGCCCCTTGCCCCCTGCTCCCACCCAGAAAGCCTCCGCTCCCAACAGACTGACTCAGCCCTGACCATGTCCCACGCTGTGGACACTCTGTATGGATGGGTCACTCTGCCAGGAATGCCATCCCCAGTTCCTCTTCCAGCTTCCTCAAGCTTGTCCTGGAGGTGGCACTTCCACAGGGAAACTGAGGCTGCCCAGAGGGCTCCCTGCACACCCCAGAGCCCTTGTGCTCACACTACCTGTGGCACCTGTCACACCAGCCTGGCTGCCACTTCCCTTGTCTGTCTCCCCCACAACCTGGGAACTCCGGAAGCTTGGACACCACATCCGATCCCTTCTGCATGGCCAGGCTTGCCCAACTCAGAGAAGGGAGTACCACAGATGGGGCAGGAGGTGCCCATGGCTGTGTCCTCCCCAGAGAACCAGGTGGAATTTCTCGAGGGTGAGTCTGAGCATGAGTCTCCATGGAAGGGCCCCCAGCCCACCCATCACAACCTGTTTGCAGTCAGCCCTGTGTCCAAAATCTTTCCTTTTTCCTTAGTCACCCCTTCTCGTGTCTCCAACGTGACTACCCCAGGCCTGAACTCTGCCCTCTCCTCCTCGTTGGACTTCACAGATTTTTGACTCATTTCCCTGCTTCCATATAATTTAATCTACGTAACACACACCTAACAGAGACATACTGGATACCCAACACTATCCTGGGCAATTTATAAACCCTCACTTACTTATCAACTGATTTTCCAGAGAGGGTCAGAGCTCCTTGAAAAAGAAGTACCAGATCACATCGCTCACCTACTTAAAACCCTCTGACAGCAGTTGACACGTGGAGTAAAATCCAAACTCCCATCCCAACTCCCAACCCGCCCCATGGCCTGCCAGGCCCAGCTGCAGCCCCACCTGGCTCCCTCATCTGTTCCCCACACTCTCTTCGTGGCACTTCTCACTGTCTAAAATGATCTTCAGTTTCACTGGTGTGTCACCTGACCAGAGGGCCAGCTCCACAAGGGCAAGGACCTAGCTGCTGCAGTCCTGCGCCAAGCGTGCTGCACGGCAACAGCGAGGGTAACAGCAGACCCTTACCTAGCACGGGCCCTGAGCCACGCACTGTCCCAAGTGGGTTAACTTGTTTTTTCTCACAACGACCCTAGTTGGGAGGTGCCATTATCAGCTTCATTTTACAGATATGCAAACTGAGGCGAAGACAGGTGCAACCACCTGCCCAAGGTCACACAGCCTATGTGAGTGTCAAGGCCAGGATGTGAATCATGCAGCCTGATCCAGGGTCCTTGTTTTTTCAACCCCTGTGATATTCCGCCACTGCACAATAAATGACTGTAGAATAAGGAAACCCTGCAGAAATTTGCTGAATAAACAAATGAAACTAGGGCAGGGGGTTGGCAGGGAAGGCTCCCCGAAGGAGGTGTCCACAAGTAGGTCCTTCAACTATGGGCAGGATGTAGACAAACAAGAGAAAGGACAAGAATTCCTGTGTGCTGAATGGGAGAATGAGAGCTGCAGCCTCTCCGCCAGGTATGGCAAATCCCAGGCCATTTCTCCCACCCTCTGACTCTACAGCCTGCTCTGGGCACTACACGTGCATTCCCAAGGTCCCCACACACCTACCACAGGTCACTTTGCCTTCAGAGGCAGGCCTGGCTGGCTCCTGCTGCTGCTGGGGGGCAGCTGGACCCCCTCTCCGCCGCCGTCTGGCACCACCACTGGGCCGGCCCCGACTCCGCCGCTGCCGCTTGGTTGGTGGGGAGCCTGAGGGGAAAAAGATGTGGGGGGCTGAGGACCAGGATGACAGCTGGAGTGCCAAGGCAGGTGTCCAGGGAAGAGTACAGGTGGTCTCAGCACTGAGCCCTTGGGTGAGCCCCTCTGCCTGTGTCTCGGTGGCCCTGTCTAGAAGATGAGGAGTACAGTACCATCTCGCATCACCTAGAAGGGCAGATGAACACACTCCACCATCCAGCAGGCCCACTCCACTCTGACCCTAGTGAACTCTCCGCACACTCACACCAGAACATGGGCATGACAGCAGCCACAGGGCAATCACTTATAATCATGAAAACCTGAAAACAACATGTCTGGCAAGAAGAAATGGGAATATGCAGTAATTTCCAGGATAGACTATTTAGGGAAATAAAGCCAGAAGATGCAAAATAAGTATCCACAGGATGCTACACTTTGAATAAGAAAGGAGAAAAAATGCCTGGGTTCTGTGTAATTCCAGCACTTTGGAAGGCCTAGAAGGCCAAGCCAGGAGGATCCCTTGAGGCCAGGATTTCAAGACCAGCCTGGGCAACATATTGAGACCCTGTCTCTACAAAAATTTTAAAAAATTAGCCAGGCATGGTGGTGCGCACCCGTAGTCCCAGTGAGGCAGGAGGATCACTTGAGCCCAGGAATTAGTTGGAGGCTGCAGTGAACTATGATCGTGTCACTTACTGCACTCCAGCCTGGGTGACAGAGCGAAGACTCTGCCCCTAAAAAAAACGAAAAATAAAAAAAAAGGAGAAAAAGAAAGAATATGTATATATTTGCAAGATGAAACACCGGAAGGACAAATTAGAAATGAATGAAATTGATTACCTGTCTACTTGGGGGGAAGGGCAACAGTGGAAATGACATGTCTAAGAACAATTTTTTTATACTTTAGTTTTGACTTTTGAGTCAGGTTACTGTTTTATGCATTCAACAAGTTAAAAAGAAACAAACCATAAAATTAAATACAAACAGAAACAAATGAACCCAATTGTATACATAATTGGTAACATGAATACTCAGAGAAAAGAACTATTTCAAGTAACTTGAAGAACATACTGACTGTAAACTCTCAGTGGGATATGCTCAGAGAACAAAAAGAACCACAAATAAATGTCATGTTTCATTGATTAGATATACTCAGCAATGGTACTGACTTTGACGCTATTTTATTATTGTTGTAAAATAAAGCAAATAAATCCATATCTCAATGTTAAGAGCCATGACTTTGTGTTAAAAAGTCCTTGTAATGCTAATTTTAAATTAAAAACACTAACAGGAACTTTTTTTTAAAAAAGCAAAGTCTCTAGCTTTGTTCATTGAAAGAGCCTACACGCTCAGCACCTAGATCTTGGTTTCTCAATACCACAGCCTCAAAAAACGAGGCTCCTTGAAAAACAGCTGATTCTAGGGCTAGGAAAGTTCAAAGTGAGCCCAGGACATCTTGTAGTGCCACAAAGCAGGAAGCACCCAAAGAATGATGGAGACAGGTCAGAAGGACAGAGGCTGGCCAATTTGAACCTTATGAAGAATGACTAATTGACTACAACAAAGTAAATAAATAATAATGCATGAATCCATAGTGACAAAAAAAAAAATGGAGAGAGGAAAAGGAAGAAATGAAAGAATCCGAGCATATAACAGAGATAGGAAAAAAAAGAATTAGAAAATCACTATTTTGCAAATACCAATGTCATAACTGGTTCAGGCAGTGCTCACCAACAGATGCTGAACCCACTGGGTGAATGGCTGTTGGGGAATCGGATGTGCCAAAGTATCACCCCATACGTTGTTTACTAATCGTAATGGGAATGAAATGCCCCTTTACAATGGATAAACATGGCAGACATCACCTTCCCCGAGTGATCAAACTTTCCCACTCACATAAGGAATACCAGACTTTACATGCCTCGTGATGTGCTCCAACATGAAGTGGATGGCATTAACCAAGGAGTAGTCCTGCCAAAAATGTAGTGTAAACCGACTCTAACCAAGCCTGCAGACACAATTCCCACTTAACAGAAAATACAGGGGGAAGAGTTAGACAAGTTGAAAGACTTCATCAGGAAATAATCAGACAGATCCAGAAATTGGGACATGCTACAAAACAACTGGCCTGGTAGGGTAAGTCAGTCAATGTCACAGGAAAAAACAAAAATGTATAGCGGTGGGGGAGAAGTTTCTGTTCTATATAGTAAAAGATTAAAGAAACATAACAACTGAATGCACAACAACTATGAATGGATTCTGAATATTAAGTCAACCTTGGGATATGTGAAAATGGACCATCAGGATATCAGAGAATTAGTAATTATTTTCTTAGGTATAACAACAGTCTTAAAGTGCTTTAGGAGAATATCCTTATTCTTCATAGACGCCTACTAATTTAGGGGTAAAGCATCCTGATGTCTGTAATTTACTTTCAAAGAATTTAACAAAAACACCAGAATTACACATATACATACACACATAAAGCGAAATGTTGATAATTATTGAATCTGAGTGGTAGATGTTCACTATACTAACTTTCCAACTTTTCTGTTTGAAATTTTACATAATAAAAAAACTGTGGGGAGAGATTACATAAATTAATTGGGGCATGGCAATTAAAAGAAACCAATCAGAGGTACTGAATATGAATAAATCTCACAAATACACCCAGCGAAGGCAGCTTGGTGCAGAACAATACCCACAAATGTAATGTCACTTAAATGAAATATGAAACCACATGCAACAATTCGGTATGTTGCTTCAGAATAGTGCCTCTGTAGCAATAAACACACACATACAGTGAAAATGAGACCCTCTCAGGCCCCCTCAGGATAGAGGAGGTTCAGCAAAGTTCAGAAGGAAGAGAGGGATACCGCCCTCATGCCCACTCAGCTGGGCTCACCTGTCTCCCACTGACCCTGGTGAGAATCTGAAGAACTGCTTGACTCCCGACGGCGACGACAGCTGCCCTCTGTCCTCTTTGAGGAGCTGGAGGTGCCATAGCTGTATCGTTCCGGAGACACTAGGGGAAGAGAAGAAAGAGGAGAAGCATTCATCCTCCTGCCACCAATACCCACCCCTAGAAGAAACCTGCACCACAGGGTGCCTAAGTTCCCCAGAGGTTGGAGCCCAAATATCCACTCCTTCTCAAACATCTCCTGCCCAGAGGTTGCTCAGATGCCTCCTGAGACAGAGGACTTCTCACCTCTAGGGACTAGCCAACCCATGTCTATACAGCTCAAACTGTAAGTAGTCATCGTCAGGTTCCCTGCAATGGCCCCTTCCCCCCACCCCACGTGTCTCCAGCTCTCCCTGAGGTCCTAAGGAGTAAGCAGGCATCTCTGCAGGCTCCCCAAATCTTCTCTTCTACAGCCTGACCCTCAGAGATATTTTTCCAAAACACTGTAAGCCCTTCCCTAGAGCTGTCCTTCTCCTGGTCATCTAAATCCCATGGGCCTACTCTGGGTCAGGGAAGCCCATAATCTCCCCTCCCCAACCTAGACACTGCACCTCTAGTGACCCAGCCAGGGGCTCAAAAGCCTATGCATGCACAGGGCTAGCAGCAGTCTGAAACCCTCCCAGCTCCTCACCTCAAGACTGCTATCCTCCAGGAGCACTTCCCTCACGAGGATTAAGGGCATCAACTCTGGAGACAAACCAGGTGGGTTTGAATGCTGGCTCCCACACTTTCTAGCTACATTATCTGCAAGCCCTTTCATGACATGGCTTCTCATCTACCTCTCTGCCCTTGCTTGGGTCCCCTCTGTTCCTATCTACCTCTCTGCCCTTTCTTGGGTCCCCTCTGTTCCTGGCCTCTGATGATGCCAAGCTCATTCCCACCTCAGGCCTTGGATGCTGCCTAGAATTTTCTCCCTCGAGATCTATGCATGGCTGGCAGTGCAGCCTCAATTTAAATGTCATCTTCTCAGAAAGCTGTTCACGGGTTATCCAATCTAAAGCGGCCTCCTTTCATTTTGCTGCCCTCCCATGTCTCTCAATTCCATTACTTTTAGTCTCTCTACAACCACATCTAAAAGTAAGTTGGCTGTTTATCTGTTTTATTGTCTCGCTGCCCCACTAACTGCAAACTTCACGGAACAAACTCCTTGTTAGCACCACACCTCATATCCCTTATGCCTGGTACACAGATTGAGTTCTTATATGTGGGCAAGGTGCTTAACTTCTCTGAACTTATTTTCCCTGTACAGTGCAAAGAATAACAGGACTTCCTCGTGGGATTACTTGGAGAATATAAGGAGACAGTTCATATAGAGCTTACAGCTGCTCCTCACATGAAACAAGCTTTCCATAAACAGTGGCCATAAACATTATTATTGACATGACCAAATCCTACAAGTTCATCCCTCCCAAAGTCATGCCTCCTCCCTCTCGTGTTTCTCATTAATATTCTGGGAAAAGGAGGGGTGGCATGGGACAGGCTGTCTGATATGGCACTGTCGGTATCAAGGCACTATGGGAGTCCAGCAGGAGCAAGGCCCTCTCCTCACCGGAAGTCTGGCACCCTCCCCTTCAACCCTACCTGGCCGGCGCCGCTTGCGCGCCAGGTGAGGCAGCAGGTCGTGGCGGGCCAGCACACGCAGGAGTTGCCCCAGCAGCCGCAGGTTGCTCTCGTCGCACTGCCCGCGGCGCTCCAGCTCCAGCAGCAGCTCCAGGCCGCTGCGGGCACGGGCCAAACCGCCAGCGGCGCCGGGGGCCTCGTCCAGCAGGAAGGCCAGGAGCTCCAGCTCGCACTCGGTCAGTTGCCCGCCCACCACCTCGAACATACGGTGAAGCGACAGCATCCCGTAGTAGTCCAAGCATTCATCCTCCTCCCAGCTCGGGGCCGGGGTCGACCCAGACAACGCCATTCCCGGGGGAAGGAGGCGGAACAAGCTCAGAACCGAGGCCTAGAACCCACACGGTGGGGAGGAGGCAGTGGTCAGCGACGCGGGGGCCCGAACCTCACACCGCCAGTGCGTGTCCCCAACCCCGCCGCGCCAGGCAGGGCCGCTCCCACACCCCCACTCGGCCCAGCCTCCCCCTCCCCCGGAAGGGAATGGTCTCGCCCGAGGTCCCCTAGTAACAGGTCGAGACGCCAGACCCCGCTTGTCCAGACTCAGGGCCTGAACGCCCCTGCCCAAGTGGTACGTTCCCAGCCAGCCTCAGACCCGGGATGCGGCCCGAACAAGCCTGGGGCCCACCCCGGGGCACCCTGCCCGCTGCCCTGTGACTCTGGGTAGTACCGCACGGACTTGCCCCGCGGCTCCCCAGTGGTACCGTCCGATTAGTCCCGCGGCTCCATCCAAATGGTACCGCCCGAAAGCGACCCTCTGCTCACTACAAGTGGGACGGACCGAGGCAGCCCTATCTCCACACAGGTGGTACCGTCCAAAGCCGACCCCTCGCCCTACAAGGGCGGTCCCGCCCTCTCCCCGCAGACTAGGTGGTTCCATTTACTCGCCACCGGTCGCCATTAGGCTGCTCTACACCCTCACCGGAATCCGGCGTCCGAAGACTCCTGGGCGACGGCCGCAGCCACTTGTTTTGGATCTTTCTGGCACCTTCTCTATTATTACGCCTGCGTCACCTCGCCCCTCCTCCTTCCCCCAACTCGCGCAGGTGCGACCGCCACGCCCCTTCGGCGCAAGCGCAGAATGAGGCCTTCAAGCCCCGCCCTTCCTGGGCTGCCTTACCCGCCCCCAACTGAAGCGTCCCGGCCTGCCTGTGCTGCGCTTGCGCAGAGCGAGCGCGGCGCTACATCTGGGGCTGGATGTGTTACCCGGTTTGAGAGTCCCTAATTCCCACCTGTGACTTAAGCCCCCAGGTCTCTGTAGCCCCAATGTCACTACCTGTTGGAATTATTCTTCTCATGGACCAGAGCCCCCTCGTCATCACGACCTAGACGCCCTCAGCTGCCCGTGGCTAAGGATCAGAATCATAACATGCCTGGCTCTCGGGGGCGCCTCGGCCTCTTATGATCGGGACCTGGACAGTCCTTCTCCATTAGATTGTTCCTTACTCCTAGTGGCAACCAGGAACCTACATCTTAACTGTGATGTCTCATGATCCCAACTGGAACACCCCCCTATTCAACAGAAACCCCGCCCCCATCTATAAATTTCTTCCCCTGATAGAGACGGAGACTCCTTCATCTCAAACTGACACCTCCTACCAAATCACAATAGACTCCTCCACCCCTACTGCGTATCTCCCAATGGCATTCATCATGACCCTTCATCACAGTCAGACATCCCTACCCAGGATCAGAATAGCCCCTCTAAGGCCACAGAGCGGCCCAGATGCCCCTTCCTTAATCTGCACCAACTAGAGCAGGTCTGTCGGGGAAGTCAGCATAGAGGCTGCGGTGTCAGGGTATCGGTGAGTCCCCTTGCCACCGGGCCTTGGGTGTGACGGCCGCCCCGCCCCGCACTTAGGTGACTCAAAGTCAGGGCCTGCGCGTGCTTAAGATAGGTCCCCTCCTCGGACCAGTTCCTAACCCTGCAATTATCTCCCCTTGGGAGGCAGGAGACCTGGGCTGCCTGGCACTGACCCAGCACTGGCTCTGCTTGGTCTGCAGCAGTGCCTCAGAAAAATCCCTTCCCATCTCTTCTCTGGGCTTCAGTTTCCCTACTTGTGAAACAGATGGATGGCAATGGTCACCTACGGAAGCACACTCCCAGGCCGGACACACAGTGGGCGCCTGATAAGTGACTACCATTAAATCAAACGAAGAGTAGGAGGGACTAGAAAGCAATTTTACAAACTAGAAGGGATTACGTCCTTGTTAGATGGGTTACAGTGGACACCCGCAGTGTAGTAGGCTCTGTGCTGAGTGCTTTTACATGTGTGACATCATCCAATCCCCTCAGCAGCCTTTGAGGTGGATGTGACTCAAGCCTACTTTACACCAGTAAAACTGAGGCCGGGAGAAGTACCCAAGTGTGTCTGGCTCCAGAGCTTTGCTCTCAGAGATGCTCAGTCTCTTCAGCTGTGAAATGACATCTGTCAAGGTCTCCCGCCGCCCAGTCCACTGCACGGGCCCGCGCTCTCCCAGACTGCCCCCTTCTTTCTACTGAACTTTTAAAGTCTAGGAAAGGAGCGGTCAGGGAGAACTGCGCAGGCGCTTCTCCTCGCCCCAAGCCCCGCCCACAGGGCACAGATGTGTGCGTGGAGAACTCCTGGGACCCCGCCTGAGCTTCAAGACGCAGGCGCAAGGGCGCGTGCCCTGCGCTACTGGCTCTGATTGGCCGCCACGGGTAAAGGCGCCGCCCAATGGGAGGTGTGGATAGTGAGGGGTCCCGCACGCCTGGAGCCGAGGGTCTGTGTCAAGAGCCGCAGGGGCAGCCGGAGGCGACAGAAACGGGTGAGGGCGCTGCGGGGTGTCCCAGGGAAGAGAGCGCTGGGCGTACGGAGAGCGCGGAGGGAGAACGAAGGGGACACCAGAGGTCTAAAAGCTTTGGGGCCTGCGCTAGGGCGGGAGCGGCGCAGGGTGGCAAGAGAGCGCTCCTTCCTGTATGCCCCGGAGCGTTGGTTGAGCTGAGGTGTGCAGGACCCTACGCTTGAGCTCGCCCCCCACCCAACCCCCAGCGCCCTTCAGGGAGCTCTCAGGCTGCCGAGATGAGTCTGTTAGAAGAAAAGGGTTGTGCAGCGGGAAAGTTGAACTTCCAGGTACCTGGTGGGGGTTCCTTCCTGGAAGGACTTACTGATCTACTGTATGAAAATCTCCTTTCCTCCTCCTAGTAGTTCGCAATCCAAGATTGGGAAAGCGGAATGTAGACGAGGAAAATGCAAATTTTAGGCCTCCTGGGCTGCCTTCTAGAGAGACAGTTATTGGGTGCCTGTTTTGTGCAAGCTTTGCAGCAGGCACCAGGCCTAGCCAGAAGGGAGTTCTCTGTTTGGAGTGGGGCTGTAAACAAGGAAAAATGGAACTCTTGGGCCCCAGGTTGAGTAATTCCAGGAAGATCTTTTATGGAATAGCTGTTGTGTGCAGGGCCCTGGCAACTCAAAAATTAGTGAGGGAGTTGAAATAGTAGATAAAGAAAGTTTAGCTCCTGGACTTTTAGTGAATCATTTACTCAAGGAGCATTTATTGGGCACCAACAGAAAGCAGGGGTCTATACTGGGCTGTATATTGTGGGAATTCATGTAATTCATGTCTAATGGGAGAGTTGGTCTGGTAGAAGTGGAATGTACACAGAGACAGTTAAACTCCAGGCCTCACTTCCTGAGGGAGTATTGTTCACTATCTGAGTGCCTACTGTGTGCTAGGCATTGTTCTTGCAAGTCACTAACAAATGAGGTGAAGAAGAGATAAAGAAGGTGGAGATTGGATTCACAAGATTAGCTGCCAGGCCTGGGAGGGGGCAGTCATTTGCTGAATGGACTCCAAGCCCCTGCTATGTGAAGGGGCCTGGATTGGGTCGAGTTCACACAAGTAGAGGGGGAGATGGGACACATAGAGTGAAGTTTGAAAGTTAAAATTCTTGTCCTTGGTCTTTGGTTTTGTTGGTAACTGGAGCCCCTACAATGAATCAGACCCACAAGCTCTCTTAGTCCTGTGAGGATTACAGAGATGCCATCCAAAGCTTACGATATTTGCTATGTTAGAGGTGGCACGGGATACCATAGGAACTCCGTGGAGGAGGAACCCCAAGGAGGAAGGAGTGGCCACCACCCCGAGGATGTAGAGATGTTGTCGGAGAAGGCTCACAAAAGAGGCACTCTGTAGGAGTTTGCCAGACAAAAAAAGGAGATAACTTTTTTGGCAGAGGGAATAGCAGCATCAAAGACTTAAGGTCCAGAAACAACCTTTCTGGAAAACTACAAGTAATGGTTATAGCTAACCTTTAACAAGTACCAGGAACTTTGTGTCAGTACTACTTTTATCCCCATTTTACAGGTGAGAAAATAATCTCAGAGAGAGGAAAAAAGTGGTACAGAGCTCAGATTTAAGTCAAGAGCAGTCTGGTTCCAGGGCGCCTATGTTCTTTTTCTTTTTTTTTTTCTTTTGAGAGACAGGGTCTTGCTCTGTTGCCTGGACTAGAGTGCAGTGGTGTCAGCCTAGGTCACAGCAACTTCAAACTCCTGGGCTCAATCGATCCTCCTGCCTCCGTCTCCCGAGGAGCTGGGACTACAGGCACATGCCACCACACCCGGCTAATTTTTCTATTTTTAGTAGAGACGGGGTCTCATTCTTGCTCAGGCTGGTCTCAAACTCCTGAGCTCAAGCAATCCTCCTGCCTCAGCCTCCCAGAGTGCTAGGATTATAGGTGTGAGCTACCGCACCCGGCGCAGGGCCTATGTTCTTAAACACTTTAGTGTACCTCTGTGTGTTCGTATAAGAGAAGGAGGAAAGATATTGCACAAAGAGGAAACTACCCAGCAGGCAAAGGCTGTTATGTTCTCAGAAAGGGTATGACTGGCCCTCTGGGTGAAGAGGGCAGTATCAGAGACCAGGCTGAGAAGTGCTTTCTCTCCTGCAGATGCCTGACTGCTCTGGGACGTGTGTAGGCTTCAGAGACACAGGATCATCAAAGACTGAGACATAAACATTGAAGTAAGACTTCTTGATTGGTAACAGCTGGTAAGTAACGGGATGGGCAAACTCATGAGATTTCCCCTCTCCCCTCAGGTTCCTGGTGCCTCACCAGCTTTCACCCCTCTTTCTCCAGGCTTCCATCCCCACAATGGCAGAGGTGGTGGCTGAGGTGGCTGAGATGCCAACACAGATGTCACCAAGGGCAGTAGAAATGTCAACACCCGTGTCAGGGGAGATGACAGAGATGTCAACCGAGGTGACTGAGATGACACCGGGGGAGGCCCTTGCTTCATCCCTTTTCTTCCAGCACCACCAGTTCATGTGCTCTGAGTGTGGCAGCCTCTATAACACACTGGAGGAAGTCCTCTCACACCAGGAGCAGCATATGCTCGCTGTCGCAGAGGAAGAGGCACTGACTACCCAGGATGCTGGCCTGGTGCCAGAGCTAGTGCCAGGCACTGAGGAGGGGCCTTTCCAATGTGGTGAATGCAGTCAGCTCATCCTCTCCCCTTGTGAGCTCCTGGCCCACCAGGACGCCCACCTGCGGGAGTCTGCAAGCCAGATCCAATACCAGTGTGGGGACTGCCAGGTGCTGTTCCCCTCGCCTGAACTGTGGGTGGCTCATCGCAAGGCCCTGCACCTTTCTGCTGCAGCAGCTGAGCCCCTAGTGCTACCTCCTTTGTCTCCCCGAACACCACCGCCTCCACCCCCTCCACCACCCGAAGTCAAGATGGAGCCCTATGAGTGTCCTGAGTGTTCTGCCCTCTGTGCCACCCCTGAGGAGTTTTTGGAGCATCAGGGCACCCACTTTGACTCCCTAGAGAAAGAAGAACGTAATGGGCTAGAGGAGGAGGAGGAGGAAGATGACGATGAAGAAGATGATGAAGAGACAGAGGATGAGGAAGATGTGGTGGCAGAGGTTGATGATGGTGTTATGGGAGGTGACAAGTCCACAGCTGGCTGGGCCCGGGGCTGTGGGGATTGTCCCCAGCACCAGACCTCAGCAGGGGCACGCCGACGACACCGGCGGGCGTCTCGCGGCCCAGCATCAGCAACCCACCCCTTCCACTGCAGTCAGTGTCAGCGCAGCTTCAGCTCAGCGAACCGGCTGCTGGCTCACGGGCGGGCTCACGTAGGTGGCACACACGAGTGTACGACTTGCTCCAAGGTCTTCAAGAAAGCAGCCTCGCTAGAGCAGCACCTTCGGCTGCACCGCGGTGAAGCCCGCTACCTCTGTGTAGACTGTGGTCGCGGCTTCGGCACAGAACTCACATTGGTGGCCCACCGGCGGGCCCACACTGCCAACCCATTGCATCGCTGTCGCTGCGGCAAGACGTTCAGCAACATGACCAAATTCCTCTACCACAGGCGCACTCACGCTGGCAAAAGCGGGGCACCTCCCATGGCAGCAACGGCCTCCCCAGCTCCAGCCGAGCCCACCCCACCACCACCGCCCCCTGCCCCACCTGCCCAGCTGCCCTGCCCACAGTGCTCTAAGTCCTTTGCCTCAGCTTCCCGGCTTTCCCGGCACCGGCGTGCGGTACATGGGCCCCCTGAACGGCGACACCGCTGCGGGGTTTGTGGCAAGGGCTTCAAGAAACTGATCCATGTGCGCAACCACCTGCGGACACACACAGGTGAGAGGCCCTTCCAGTGCCACTCATGTGGCAAAACCTTTGCTTCTTTGGCCAACCTCAGCCGCCACCAGCTGACCCACACAGGCGTGCGTCCCTACCAATGCCTGGACTGCGGCAAGCGCTTCACTCAGAGCTCCAACCTGCAGCAGCACCGGCGGCTGCACCTGCGGCCAGTCGCCTTTGCCCGTGCCCCCCGCCTCCCCATCAGCGGTCTCTACAACAAGAGCCCCTACTACTGCGGGACCTGTGGCCGCTGGTTCCGCGCCATGGCGGGCCTGCGACTGCATCAGCGGGTCCATGCCCGAGCCCGGACTATGACACTGCAGCCTCCCAGGTCACCACCTCTTGCCCCACCCCCTGAGCCCCAGCAGACTATCATGTGCACAGAGCTGGGGGAGACCATCGCCATCATTGAGACATCCCAGCCACTGGCACTTGAAGACACACTGCAGCTGTGCCAGGCTGCACTGGGGGCCAGCGAAGCGAGCGGGCTATTGCAGTTGGACACAGCCTTCGTGTGACGCAGCTGAAGAGCAACAATAAAAGGTTTTGGTTGCAACAGTGAGTGTGGATACCTCTGGGAGGCAGAGGAGCCCCCCTCTGGCAAGCTGATCTGGCACCCACTATGTGCCAGGATCCACCCTGACTTCTTTTACCCACTGACACTTCAGAACGACCCTACCAGGTGTCTCTTGTCATCTTTCTCTGCCTGAGGGGAAACTGAAGCTCTGAGATGCGACACGATCTATACCAGGTCACCCTGCTGTGTTGCAAAGTGGGGTTTGCCAAGGCTCTTTGCACTGCATCACCCTGGTGCCCAGCAACATCAGGTAATCTTTACTGAGCACTGACCACGTGCCGGGTCTGTGCTGGGCACTCTCATATACCTCTTAAGATCCTCCGCCTGTGCCCCCAGCCCTTGCCATCCCTGGACTTTGGGCATCCGGGACTGGGCTCTGCCTGGTGGAGGAAGGCACTTGACTTCATCTTGATTTTGACAATGTGGAAGGAAACCCACAGGTACTCAGGCACTCAGCTCCAGACCGGGTGATGCTGGAGCCCCAGCGATGAGTCAGACACAGGCTCTGCCCTCAGGAGGTACGCGCAGTCTGGGAGGAGGAGCACACACAAGTACAGATGGCTTGTTCTCCGAATGTGTCTCATTGATTCATTTATTAATAGCTCGTGTGTCCTAAGGCCTCCCTCCCATATACTAGGCAACGCTGGGGTCAGAAATGAGTCAGGCTTAGGGATTCTTAGGGCTGTGGTGGGGATATGCAGAGACAGTGGCATCCCAGAGTAGGGAACACACCTCCATGGTGGGAGATCTTAAGTCAAAGACTCCTGATCAGACTCTGAGAGTCAGCAGAGGTAATCCCTGAAGAAAAAATAGGAATCTGCTAGTGGACGAGGAAAAGAACATTCCAGGCAGATAGCACTGCCTGCAAGGGAAGAGTGAGCTCTTGGTATATTTGGAGACCGTCCAATTATTCACAACGACAATAACAGTGAACAGTTGACTGCCTAGCTGAGGCAGGCCCCGCACTTAGCATTGTGTGTGTGCTGTGGTCCCAACAGGCCTGTGACGTAGATCTCAATATTATCGCAATTGTATAGATGAAAAAACTGAGGACAGAGACTTGCCCAAGGTCTCCCAACTAGGCAGATGCATTGTGAGATTTGAACCCAGGAGGTCCCTGAAGCCCACATTTGTAACCAGTACAAATGGGTTGAGTGACTGAGAGCTGAAATCTGCAGGGGCTGGAGGTCAGAGGATTCATTGTGATTGAAGGAAAGGCCAGCCAGTGTCACAGAACAGTTGCGATTTCAGGGGACCTCGAAAGATCAAAGGTCTTGGGAGTGGGAAAGGATTCCCAGCTTTTTTGAAGCTCACCTGGGATAACGATCCTTCCCTCCCTAAGCACATGGTTTATGGCAGGTCAAAGGGTTCCTCCCAGGCCTCTGCAGATCAGGGCGCGCGGTCAGTGAAGCAGAATGCAGCTGGGGCTGGGAGTTGCCCAGGAGGGAGGCCTGGACCTTGGAAGGCCTTGAAAGCTGGGCTGAGTAGTTCTAGGGGAAGAGGGCCTCATAACTGGGTGTTCAATCTCCTTGGGGGTCAGTAGGGTGAGTGGGTGGCTGCAGATGGTCCAGGAGGGAGAAGACAAGGCCGGACCTGGGCAGGGGTTGTGGGGCTGGGAGGGTGAGGGACACCCTCAGTGACCTCATGTGTGAGCAGCTGGGAGGAAGGGGTCCCCAGGAGCCCAAGGTCTCCCTCTTTCCCACAACAGCCAGTCTGTTTGCTGTGTGTATTCATCGTACAGACAAGGTGAAATCCGGATGGTGTTAAGCAAGGGAGGGACAGGGTCTGTCCTGGAGAGTATAAGGATGCCCCTGGAGTTGGTGTAAGCAGACTGGAGAGCCCAGGCCCCGCACGAACAGTCCCTTAACTCTCTGGGACATGTTTGAAACCCTTCTCCCTTTTTGTTCAAAAGCGGAATCCAGTGGAGGACATGTCAGTTGCTCCTCTCCAGACCCCTTCCACTTCTGGGGCCTCCTGGCCATGCTTTGTGCTTGGCACCATGTGGAGGAGATACCATTTCCTTCTGCCCATGGCCCCACCATCTCTAAAAGTAAGGGGAAAAGCCCAGCCCTCTACCCCAGCCTTCCCAGTGTTTCCATTAAGAGGTGGACCAGGTGGGTGCCTTGTTGAATACTCAGAAATGAAGGCTTAGGATCTTCTAGGACTCTGCCCTCAGCCATGCCCACCCAACAAAGAGACTATAAACAAGCTAAGTTTTGGCCCAAGTGACCCCTCCTCATCCACTGTCCCCCTCCCAGACCCTGAAGCAGCGGCAGCTTGGGCTGAGACACAAATCTTGACTCTGCCACTTGAGCTCTGTGGCCTAGACCTCTCCGATCCCCAGATCCCCAGCTCCCTCACCGGTTACTGTGATGCTAATTCCTCCCTCCCTAAGCAGAAGCAGATGATTTATGCTGGGTCATGGGGCGGGCTCCTCCCAGGCCCCTGCAGCGATAAGCACCTCACCTCATGTGCAGAGGAGAAAGCTAAGGCAGGAGAAGGTTGGGCACCTGAGCCAGGGCTGGGACTCAGGCCTCCTGGCATTCCTCTGCCTGAGATGCAGCAAGCTCTGGTCCTAGAACAGCCCCCGAGGGACCCCCCTCACCTCGGTGGAAAGAGGCAGCCAGACAGGAAGCAGGTTTTCATGCCAATAATTTATTGAACGGAGGTCTGTACACAGGCAAACCTTACTGTGGAAACTAAGACATCAGGAGCTCTCCCCACTCCTCCAGCCCTCCAGGGTGGGATGAGGAGGGAGGAGACCTTGGGGGCAGAGGACAGGAGGGGAGATACAGCTGTAGGAGGGGGAAGGGCCAGGTTGGACAGTGGGAATCGTTTTCTTTAAGAAAAAAATTATAACAATCTATTTACACCCGGAGGCCAGGGAAGGGAAAAGGAGATGGGGGCTGGGCTGGTTCTATTTACAAGGGACACAGGAGGGGAGGGGGGTTGGAGGAGGTGGAGGAGAGGGGGCCAAGGGGGTAGGAGGTCCTCATGCCCCCAACCCCCTGTCCTTCCTTTCTTCTCTTCCCTCCCCACAACCAGTTAAAATCCTCTTAAAAAGCCCACCACAGGGTAGGCTGGTGAGGGAGGGACTGGAGGTGGGGACAGGGACTCATTAGGGGCCCAGCCAGGGCAGGAGCTTGATGGCCTACGGCCCCCTCCCAGCCCCACATGGGGCTCCCAGATGGAAGTGGAAGGGTGGCTGGCAGGGCCCTCAGGAAGAGTTATTGAGAGTTGGTGTGGTATCGGGCGACTGCCAGTCTGAGCCGGTCTGAGTCTCAGTTAAAGCTGAAGGGAAGGAGGAAGGAGTAGACAGTTAGCCTTTGCCTTTCAGACAACCCCGAGCCCCTGAGAGTAGGAATTCACTGTAAGATACTATATGTTATATTAAAACCATATTAAAAGTTGAATGCTATCACTTTAGTTTCAGGCTGGCAAACACAAATGCCAAAGGGCCAGGATGATGACACACCAGAGCGCCAGGCTTTGCACAGAGGGGCGGCTCGGACTCGGCCCTAGCTGACTACTGGCGGGAGGACAGGCAGGCTGTTGCTGCGTGATCTGATTTTCTCCCCCAAGAGAAACATGACATCTGGATTTTTACACCAAATAGCCCAGTTTTTAAAACGTAGGCAACAAATTCAACGGTTTTGTTTGTTCAGGCCAAACGTATTTTAGTTTTTCAGTTAGCATTTAAATACAAATGTAGGCAATAATGCCCTACAGAGGTGACCATTCACATGTTGTAAAATATGCTTTCTATGCCATCCAAATGTCACCAATTTAAAAATATCTGCAGGAAACTCAGCGACTGTGAGAACAGCTCCACGCTCCCCTGGCTGAGAAACGCTGCTTTAACCCGAAGCACACGGCCCCCAACTTACCTTGTGAGGACTGGGCGAGGGTGGTAGTGCCCGCTGGAGACCTCAAGTGAGGAGGGATGAGAATGGCATTGAGAGATGGTTGGATGGAGAGTTCTAGAGACAGGAATTGACATGCCCAGTCAGGGTGGAGGCAGGGCATCTAGAGACCCAGTTAGAGTTATGATGGGCACCAAAAGGGGACCCAGCTGTTGGCAAGGCCAGCTATCTGTGGACACTTTTAGCCACAGAACTCTTTAACTGAAAAACCAGAAAGAGCTCAGCACAAGGCAGATCACAGCTGAGCACAACTGAAGCAGATTCGGTTGTCCCTGAATCTGGGGGCTGTTTCCCCAAGCCCCAGGCCTTGCTTGTACTGCCCCCGACACCCCCAGATCCCCACCCTGTCTTCAACACCAAGCTCTTCACAATCTTTGGCTGGCCCTTCCGCTCCCCAGATCCCAGGCTGTGCCCTCACCACCAGGACTGAAATTGAAGAGGGGCGGGAGCGGGCGATTGTTGGGGAGCTGGGTTCCGAGACATCGCAGTTCATCAAAGAAGCTGTGGGCGCAGGCCTCTAGTGGGGAGAGCCTCGAGGACGGTGTGTACTCCAGCAGGCTAGAACAGAGCGCGATGGCCTCTGGCGGCGTTCGAGATTTGAACACCTGGGGACGCGTGCACAGGGTCATGAGGGTGAGAGGCCACGGGCACTGGCATGCTCCTGTGTCTCACTGTCGCAGTGCCCCTGGCAAGTGTGGTTGCCTGCCTCCCATAAAGCCACCTTCCAAATGAGGAAACTTAAGCACAACCACTGAGGGAGGGGTCAGTTTGTACCAGGTGAGCAGCCAGCCCAGCTTCCCCACCATAAAAAATGGGAATCTCGAATTTACTTGTGGGTCCTCAGCTTTTAAAATCCCATAAACTCTGAAATCTGATAAAAGTTACTGATCCCTGGATAACTGTTTGAATCCTCCCAACCGTGATTCTGAAGCCAAGTCACCAGAGCACATGGCCTGCAAGGAGGCCCCACCCCTCAGCCATACTGCCTGAGCCCCTGGCCTTGCCCCACCTTTGTCCAGGGATGAGCTTTAATCTGGGGAAACTTGAACTCCGTGTAGTTGGGGTTCATCTCTCGGATTTGTTCCCGGGTTGGTGTTCCCAGCACCTGTAGGGAGAGGGAGGGTCTGAGACAGGACCCCTACCTTCAGCCCTGCCCCTGCCCACCGTGGCCCTGCCCTCACCTTGATGATCTCCACCAGCTGGTCCACCCCACTGTCCCCAGGGAAGATTGGCTGGCCAAGGAGGAGCTCGGCCAGTACACAGCCAGCCGACCACACATCTGGAGGGAAATGGGGGAGGGTCAAGAACAGGCGAGCAGGGCCACCAAGCCCAGCACCCCACAAATGCTTCTATTCCTCACGGCCACCCTGAGAGGTGTCAGGAGTTCCATTTTCTCAACTCAGAGATGAAGCACCTGGCCCAAGGTCATACACAGCTTAAGAACACAAGCCTGACCTTGAACCTCCAGGTCTGCCTGACTTTGCTGCACTCTCCGGCCTAGGTATGTTTCCAGCCCTCATGGCCTCTTTCTGCTAAGAGACCCCAATGAGTTCTTCCTCTGCCTCTAGCCATGGAGGACAAACCAAACTAGGCCCAAACCTGCCAACAGGCACCTGTGTTCTTTGGGCCACAGGAAAGTAAAGCCTT